TGGGAGGCTGAGGCATGGGAATAGCTTGAACCTCGGAGGCAGAGGTTGCAGTGAGCCGAGATGACACCACTGTACTCCAGCCTGGTGACAGAGTGAGACTCCATCTTAAAAAAAAAATATATATATATATACATATGTGTGTGTGTGTGTGTGTGTGTATATGTGTGTGTGTGTGTGTATAATTATATTAAAAAGTTTTATATTTAGATAAAATAAAAAAGATAAATTTGAACACACGAAAGAAAAATTATTTCTAGTTAAGTAAAACTATGTATGAAAATAAAAGCCCAGGTCTTTTCTTTTTTCCTACCTATATGCCTGTAGTCACTGCACCATCAATAATGTTCTGGTATTATGATACCAGAACATATTCCTGCTATGTTTCTTCATTTACATCAAATCAATAGCAGTGCACTCAAATGTTGACAACAATGCCTTTGGGCTATCATTAATTTAAATAATGATTCACAATTTAGTTTACTTGTCATTTTGTTTTTTTAAAAAAGGGGTCTTGTTGTCTTTACCCAGTTTTATCTTCTCTTGAGCCTCATCACCTTTTGAGAACAATGAAATCTTTTCTTTTAGTGACTAGGTAGGACTAACCTCGAAATTATCTCTTAAACTCAGATGGGTCACAGACAATGTTTCTCCATTTAACTTAGGTAATATTTGGCAATGAGTTCGGCAGTTTTCTTAAGAAAAGTCAATCCCGGAAAGATTGTCAATTAAAGATCACAGTTCCAAAAAATAAATGTCCACAAGTTGCTAGTGGATAAAAGAAATCATTATTGGGCACTTTTCCAGACATTTTTGATTACACTCAATCTTCTCAGCATTCCCAAATTAAAGGGAAGAGATAATAAAATTAATCCACCTTCTTGAACCATTAAGAGAAACATAATAGTCACAGTATTTACTGGATAAAAGGTTCCACACAACCATGCCATCTTCAAAGCATCTTACTAAGGTGCTTCTCAAATAAGAAACAATAAAAATATATATAAATGGAGTCACTAAATACAGAGAAAGAGGTTCATCTGCAGCAGCACTTTAATCTCAGGATTTCTGAGGTTTACCAATCTCAGGTAACGTGTAATTATAAAAACAATGAAGAGTCTAGCAATGGAGGAGTCATAATTTACTCTCTTCTGCCCTCCACCTCACTCCCATATTTATACTTTCTTCAATTAAATTAAGTAAAGTGTTGGTTGAGGGAAATAATGTGCTAGGAAGTCGTAACACAGAGGAACATAGGAACTCCAGTTTTACAATTGGCTTAGTGAGGTTCAGTGATTCGCACACAACCTGCCACACACCCAGTGATTACTCTCATTCCCTTTTCCACAGTTCGAAAATAGGTATCCCAAAGCTACTATTTGCTATTTTCTCTTTTTCCATCAGGACCCACTCCCCAACACACACGATTTACCTCTCAAATAACCCCCTATTCATAAAAGACATTTAAGGTCAGTGGATTTCAGATTTGCATTTAAAATGGCATGGTAGTTACTTGAAAGTCTGGAACTGATTTGAGAGCCCCCTCTTGTGTTAATATCCATGATTCGAATGTCTTTTATTGTGGGAGATGATGGGGCTGGATAGTAGTGGTTGGGATTGTGGGCATAATGATGTGTCATATTCAAAAAATCATCAAGAATATGCCTTATTTAGCATTCAACCACCACCATGGTAAGGAAAACTCATTTTGTAAGTATACCCATGGGGATCATAATATTGCCATTGAGACTTCTGGGTGTCTAAAATAAATATACACATTCATGGAATACAAAGAGATGTTCACTGCTTCCCCTTTACAAGCCAAGGAAAGCCATTAAGAGAAGCTATATGCTGTAATAGACTATCAGCTCACACACTTGTCTCAGTTAAAGACAGCCTGAAGTAGAAACAATTAAGGCATTATATTCATTGCTTTTTCTGTTGTTAATTGTTTAAGTAAAGGCTTCTATGTAAATCAAATCTGCCAGGAGAAAGACATATTTGCTTAGCTGGGTTTCCTTCCAGAGCACATGCAATTGTGAATTTCAAAGACAGTGCCTGCTAATTACTGTTGGCTTTAAGGGAGTCAGAGGTTTTATAATTAAATCCACCACTATTAGCCCCTGGTAGTTGGAAACTAGAGAGAAACTTAAATCATGATTTTCCTAGCTGCCATTGCCTCACTGATAATTTCTTGAGGCCTTTGGCTTTTTAACAGTGTAAATAGCTGAATTCAAATTGTGTGGGAGATTTTTTAAAATTGATAAAAGCTGTATAAATGAAAGTAATTACAATTAATAAATATTGATACTAAGGGTTACACTTGTTGGGCAAAAAAATTTAAGCACTTTGTGCATCCAACACTCTAAGAGGCACCGTCTGTACTAAGTAGATACCCACAGGGGTTTGGAGATATTTATACTGAATATTTAGAATTACTGGGTAAGGGGAGGTAGAGAGAGAGAGAGAGAGCACACAAGCGTGTGTGTGTGTGTGTGTGTGTGTGTGTGTGTGTGTGTGTGTGTGTACATCTATAGAGATCTGAATTCAAGTTGAAAATTTTCACCATCTACTTCACGTATCTACTCTTCTCATGTGTGTTGTTTTTCAAAATGGGGGTATTGTGGACAATCCAAAAATTATGAAAGATACTTAAAATGTCATAAAATACAAAGCCTCTAAGTAAAAGTCTGTTTAAAATTTATATATTATAAAAAAAAAAACTTGAAAAATAGAAGTGTTAGGAATTATAGACCCTAAAAGCAGAGGAAACCAGAGACCACGTGAGACTACATCACACATACCTAAACTACTCCCAAATATTTTAATTTTTTAATTTAATTTTAAGACAGTTTTGCTCTTGTTGTCCAGGCTGGAGTGCAATGGCATGACTTCAGCTCACCTCAACCTCCACCTCCTGGGTTCAAGTGATTCTCTTGCCTACAGCCTCCACCTGTAATGCCTAGCTGGGATTACAGGTGCCCACCACCACTCCTGGCTAAATTTTTGTATTTTTAGTAGAGATGGGGTTTCTCTGTGTTGGCCAGGCTGGTATCGAACTCCCCACCTCAGGTGACCCACCTGCCTCAGCCTCCCGCAGTGCTGAGATTACAGGTGTAAGCCACCACACCCAGCCCATATTAGAGTTTAGACTGTGTTTTAAAAGGCCTCCAAAGTGGTGATGTGGGGCAAATTTATTCTACCAGGAAAAGATAAAACACAAGCCTAAAGAAACGTACAGTGTGACCGAAGTTCTTGCCTTAGTGTGTCTGACATATTTCATAAGAACTATTAGGACTTTCCCAAAAGCTTTTAGTGTAGAATATAGGCTTATGATATTGATTAGGTTGTTTCTTTGTAGCTGAGAGTCAAATTATCTTCTTATATCAATTAATGGACCAATACAACTATTCCAATTCTCTTTAATTGGAAAGGAGAAAGCAAAACTTCTATTTGAAATATGATTTTGTCCAAATGATAGGATGATTTATAGCTAAATTCAGTGTACTTTAAATATAAGATTAGGGCTTTCTGTTTACTTCCTTGAAGTATGACTGTTTATACTGTACTATATTTTATTTACTGGAACCATAACTCCATATGGAATGTATACTAAATACTACATGCTATGGAAAATGGAAAAAGGAAAAAAGTAGAAAAGAGATTGATTTTTATTAGTGTTCCCAAGGGCGATAAGTGCTAGAGATTCATTATTATTTTCCGTGTATTTATTTGTCCCTCCCCCAGAAAGAAGGGTATTAGAAATAAGTGTAAGAGTATAAAAGATAACCAATAAGTCAGGGTGGGGGGAAAACAGGAGAAAAGGATGCCATCAGTTCACAAAAAAATCTAAGTATCATAAAGTTCTGGATATTTGCTTAAAGTAGATTGTGTATCAAAGACAGACAGATGATCAAGTACAATATTCACATGGGATATAACAGCAAAATGTACCAGTTCTTAAGGAAATCCCCATGCCTTTATACTTGAGGCACCATATGACGTATTAAATATCATCCAGTTCATAGTATCCCTGAAATTAATACATTCCATGGAGAGTTTCATACAGCTGGTTCTTTTTCTTAAAATATGTTTTATTTTGTCCTGAGAACAAAGGCCCAAATGTGGAAAATGGACCAAATAAGAAAGAGCAACAGAGAATTTTAGATTTTATTTTCTGACTACAACATGAAGTTCAACTCTGTTGCCATTTTAGGGCAGATTGTTTGCTTTAATGGTCGGTGAGATGGAAGCAGTCTTGACATTCCCCTAAGAAATTTTGAAAACACAACTGGGACATATCCCAGAATAGAAAGTCATCAAAGTCTATTTTACTTTCATTCATGGGTAGATCCAGGTAGTTTCACACAGGCAAGGTCAAAATAATCTTTCCAAAATCAATTTCTCATCCTTTCAGCATTTAATGATCAGGGTCCCAAAGTATATGCCATAGAAATTGGGTACAATAATTATAGCTTAGACTATTTCTAAAGCAGGGTTATAAGTCCAATTTGGTCCAAGGTAAATTATTAATGCATCCATTAAACGCTTAATTTTAACAAATGCAGCTCCCTGGTCAACTCTATAATAAATTAACAATAAAATGTGTTCTTAGGGAAGTTGTTCTATACTATATTATATAATTGTCATTGCACAGTGTACAGTCATGTGCTGTATAACCATGTTTTGGAAGGGCCAGGTGGTGTGTCTCAAGCCTGTAATCCCAGCACTTTGGAAGGCCGAGGTGGGAGGATCACAAGGTACAGGGTTCGAGACCAGCCTGGCCAACATGGTGAAACTCTGTCTCTAGTAAAAACACAAAAATTATCCAGGTGTGGTGGCCCATCCCTGTAATCCCAGCTACTCAGGAGGCTGAGACGGGAGAATTGCCTGAATCTGGGAGGTGGAGGTTGTAGTGAGCCAGGATTGCACCACTGCGCTCCAGCTTGGGTGAAAGCACAAGACTCCATCTCAAACACACATACACACAACACACACACACACACACACACACACACACACACACACACACCCCAATGTTTTGGTCGATGATTGACCACATAAGATTATAAAGGGGCTGAAAAATTTTTATCCTTTAGTGACATAACTGTTGGAATGTCATAATGCAATTCATTACTCATATGTTTATGGTGACGCTGGTGTAAACAGACCTACTGTGCTGTTACTTGCAGAAAACTAGAGCACACACAATTATGTACAGAATACTTGGTAATGATAATAAATGACTATATTACTAGTTCATATATTTACTATACTATGCTATTATCATTATCTTAGAGTATACTTCTTGTACTTATAAAAAAATTAACTGTAAAACAGCTTCAGGTAGGTCCTTCAGGAGGTATTCCAGCAGACATTGCTATTATAGGAGATGACCCCTCCAAGTGTGTCATTTCCCCTAGTGGGACAAGATGTGGGGGTGGAAGATAGTAATATTGATTTTTCTGACTTTGCGTAGGCCTAGGAGAAACAGAAGTGTAATTAACTTTCCACAATACATTCATGGAGCTCTACATGGTACGAGAAAAGCCCCCTGTGGCCAATATTAACAAAACTAGGCTCCAGAATTATTTTATCCCAACACATCATATTCTGTACTACTGAGATTGGTGGAAGGGAACAGGCAATTTTCTGTAAATAAGAAAAGCATGTGTGATTACAGTCTGAGGATTAAAGGAAGGTGAAAAGTATAGCAAATTAAAATTCTCGGTAATCTGAATGTTCTTGATTTTCTAACAAAAGTTTATCAGTCACCACTTATCACCTCTCAATAGCTAAACAAAAAGTCTTTCACTCCATAAACACTCAAATGTGAGAAACTTGAATCCTGCCCATGCTGAATTCAGTGGCTTAACACCAACACCCACTTTGAAAACTGAAAAGTTATGAATATTAATTAATTTCCTGGTAGAGAATTTGTCCTTTGTTATGAATAAATGCAACAGCTTTAACTGTGGCAACAGCCAGACCAAAACAAATAGGTAAGCAGCTATTATATTATGGGTATGTTTATTTTAATTTCCAGGGAACTCTGGGTGCCCCTTTTTCCTCTGGGGACTTCTAGCATTCTTGGGCTTGGCTTTGGTTATATCACTGATCTTCAATATTTCCCACTGCGTGGAAAAGCAACGACAAGGTAAGACATTTTGACAAATTTCACATGGTGCCTGCTTGAATGGAGACTAGGGAATCACTGGAAAACCTATGGAAGTAAACAATTTCATGAAATGTCATTCAACAGGTTATTTTTATCTATAGAAAATTTATTTGCTCATTTTTCTCATCCTAAGGGTTCTCTTATTTAAGAATGCAATCATATGAGAAATGTGAAAAAATTATCCAATTTAGCTTTCTCTCTGCTTTAGGGTGTAGAGTGGGAAGGGATTATCCTGGTAAATAGGGTTTTCCTTCTCCAACTGAACAACTTATGAAATTGTAGTTTATTCTGGGGAAGCCATCAAGGTTCTCTCTGATACATGGTAAATAAAGGGAGGTCTAGCCCTTTAAGATTCCATGTAAGCCAACTTAATCTCAGGATCAGTCAGGCATGCTCAAGTACAATACATAGAAGCGGGCTCAGAAGACAACCGGAAAAGGAATAGATTGAGCCATGGGCTTGCTGTCAAACACTCCCAGGGTTTAGAAGAGTAGGTCAAGGGTATCTGCCACTGTCAGCTTTGCTTTTCAATATGCTGGGCATAAGTTTTAACCACGCGGCTTTCAATCTGCATGTGCCACAACTGAAATGGTGTAAAGTCCAGCAACTGGCACGGCCTTTGTATGCTGTAGGCATCCAACACATGTTGAATACACGTGGATCAATGTCGAATCCATTACATGTTGACTACACATGGATGGATGGGAGAATGAAAGTTCAACCATTGCTGGAAGGTGTCTTTTTTTTTTTTTTTTTTTTTTCCCGAGACAGGATCTTGCTCTGTCATCCAGCCTGGAGTGCAGTGGCCTGATTCTAACTCACTGCAGCCTCAAACTTCTGGGCTCAAGCAATCCTCTTGCCTCAGCCTCTCAAGTAGCTAGGATTACAGGCAGGCACAAACACACCCAGCTAAATTTTAGGTATATTTTTGTAGAGATGGGGCTGACCTCATAGTCTTGTTCTCAAGCGATCCTCCTGCCTTGGCCTCCCAAAACCCTGAGATTACAGTTGTGAGCAACCACACCCAGCCTGGAAGGTGTTTAAGTGTCAAGAGATCCTTAGGGGCAGGACATAAGTGGTAATAAAAGAAAGGATAAATGCATTTTCTTTTAACAGAGGAAATAAAATAAAGCTAAGTTAATAAAATTAACTTAGACACGTGTCCAAGAAAAATTGTATGGAACTAATTTAGAACAATGGTCAGATTGCAGCAAGTGTCCTTGCTTCTTTTAGAAACATCGTAAGCTTTGATAATACTAATATAAAATATGAAGGGATTATTGTCATGCAGGTTTGAAAAAAAGATAAGAGGCACTCAAAAATGGAGTCACACTGCTGAAGCCACACATCTATTCAATAGCAAAATCAATGATGTGTCCACTTTTCTCATTCTCTGTCTAATAAGGTTTCTACCAGCACATCCAACTTTGACATTGCTCACCAGCTGTCCTTAGCCAGAAACCCAGCACTCTTTTTGGATCTCTATGGTATCAATTCTATGGCTGAGGTGAAATTCCTAACAAGCAATGCTTTTTCATTAGCAATGCTTTCCGTAATACTTTTAAAAATCTAATATATTTTCAAATAAACTTTATAATATATAAATGACACATCATCAAACATATTCTACAGTTTCCCTCTTTTATAGATGAAAATGAGCTCAGAGTAGCACTTTTCTTTATATATTTAACTGGCTATTTTAACTTCTTCGTTAAGATATTGTATAAATGCAGATAATCTGAATTACAAAAAAAAAAAGTGAATTGAGATCTACAGAGAGCAAATAATTTAAGGTGGAAACCAAGACAAGAACAGTAATCTGAACTAGTACCTTGCTCTTTCATTGAGTCCATTGGTAATCCTTTGAAGATTGCTGAGAGCCAGGTAACAGAGAGACACTGACATGTTTATCTTGAGCTCAGTCGTGTAACTTAAAATTTATCCAGCAAAAGTGATCTATTTACTTTCAACCTAAATTTTCAATTTTTTCAGTCCTATGATTGCGCTGAATTATGGATAAGAACCACTTTTTATAATCATCATCAAGATCAGGACTGGTATAATTTGGCTAAGCTAGTACTTCTGCCCCAGAAGTATTCAGCTGTACTAGTCTTTTACAACTCATTGTAAACAGGTTTTACACTTCTCATTTTTGGTAGTTTGTGCATTGGGATTTATTTAGCCACATCCATACCTTTTTGCCTCCTTTGAAAACTCCTTTGTGTAGTTGCTTATTATGGTAAGTTGACCACTGCAGAAAGACAGCAGCCTTACTTTAAAAAGCGGCACCGAAAAAAGCAGTGCCTGTAATTCCAGCACTTTGTGAGGCAGAGGTGGGTGGATCGCCTGAGGTCAGGAGTTGGAACCAGCCTGGCCAACATGGAGAGATCCCATGTCTGCTAAAATTACAAAAAGTAGCTGGGCATAGTGGTGTGTGCCTATAATCCCAGCTACT